GGTATCGGATCAGTATCGTCGATACCACCCTGAATATTACTTGGTATCGGATCGGAAAGGAAATCAGTGGTATCGCACATCACTACTGCTCTACTTTAAATGAATGAGATGGTGTGGTGGACCCCTGGGTGCCAGGTAAATTTGGCTGTGAGTGCCCAGTGACCTAACAGGGGAGGGGACAAAGAGTCCTGGAGGGACAGTTCGTTAGGCCTCCTATGTACCAAACTCAATCTCCTAGGTCAGTCTTTCTCAGACTGTGGCACATCTACCACTAGTGGTACTTGGGCTCTCTCTGGTGGTATGCAGGAAATCTCCTATTTTGTTTTAAGATTTAATAATAATTGCACCAGCAACGTGAGTGATGAAGACGTGAGTGAAGAGGAATCCGCTGTCATCCATTCTTAGCAAGGACAGCCTGCTCTCCATGAGCTCAAGAGTGGCACCATCACCCAGGCCCCAGAGAGAGAGGAGTTTTTCGGCCCACTGTGCATTGGAGAGGGAGTAAATAAAAGAAAATGACGTGGTTGATGAAATCTAGGATCACATCATTCCCTAAAGCCTAAAAATACAGCTGGAGTATTAGTGAGATCAAACGGCATGACAAGATATTCAAAATATTCAAAAAGACCTAAGTAAGTATTAAAGGCTGCCTTCCACTCATCCCCTTCCCTTATCATCACCAGGTGGTATCGTGGTTCCCTGGAGAAGTTTTAAAGCGGAAGTCAATAGTGGTAATGGGTATTTAGTGATGTTATTGAGGCCACGACTGAGTGATATATTTTTCCATAACTTCCCATTCGGGCTGTAAGATACTGTATAGCCGATTGGTGGGAAGCAGCATGCCAAGAAGGAGGTCTATCCCACAATCATATAGTCCAAGTGCAATCCTTTCTAAACACCTCCCCAAGGTCGTGATAAACAGATGGAACTGAAGAATGGTAAGGTGGATTGTGTGACAGAGGGATTAAGTGAACTGACAGAGAGGGTGGCGGCTTTTAAACAGGTTGTATGGCACCACCCCTACCCCAGAAGGCCTTCCTTTTTCCAATCCAACATGGGTTTATGTTGCTGTAACAAGGGAAACCCTAAAACCAGTGGCGTAAGGGGCGGTAAGGGACTCCTTCACCTTTGGTCACTCGCTGCTCGCAGCCAGACACTCAAGACTCAAGAAAAAAAGGGACAATTCAACGGAGTGTGAATCACACAATGATGCGGTGATGAATAGCTGCCATCCCTCTGCTTAAATGCTGGCGGGGGAAATGAGGCTCAGGTGCTTCCACTTCACGGGGCAAGGGCATGAACCAGCAATAACTTCAGATGTTTCAAAGTAAAACTTTAAAGACATTAATCAGAGCAGAAAGTGATGAGCAAACAGTAATCAGAACAGAAAGTCATGAACAAACAGTAATCAGAACAGAAAGTGATGAACAAACAGTAATCAGA